AACCGCTTCGAGCATGCCTTCCTCGCCGGTAGAACGCCGAACCTGGACGCAACTCTCACACGGGAGGTGTTTTCCCGTGAAGAGCCTCCAACGCTCAAGTCAGATCTTGAGAAAGATTAAAATATATGTGTAAGTGTATAAGAGTATATGAGATTGTGTGTAAAATGAAATATATGTGTAAGTGTATAAGAGTATATGAGATTGTGTGTAAAATGAGACTTCTCGTCCCTATATATAGGAGCGAGTTACATGTTCTACACGCGCGACCTGGGCGAGTACGGCTGGCAGCCCTCCTGCTCGTCCGTACAACCACGCGCCTCCACTATCTTTGGTGTTAGAAAACGCGTCGAATATGTCAGAGAATTTCAGAGTTTGTTATCACCGTTGACCACTTGTAGAGCGCCGCGTGTCCTTCTTACACGTGCTGGAGATTCTCTTATTTATTCTGATATTCGACCAAATCTGTAGCAAATGTCGAGTTGTCCCTGAGGTATGAGGTGGTCGAATAAACGACCATGTTCGTCTGACCATCTTTCCTCGACCAACTCCTCGAGCAGCCGGTGCTTGTCTGACTTACTTGACCTGCTCTTCGTCGGCTACCCTCTTTCTTTAGTTGCGACTGCTCAGTCCGATTCGACCAAACCGTTGATCTATTTTACTCGGCTGACCCGACGAACTGGTCTGGTATATAATATCCCATATCATCTAGTCCCCCCCCCACTCTGGTTGAGTCTGAATGACTCGATCTAAGAGTAGGATTTATCTGTGCCGCTGGGGTTCAACTTCACTCGCTTCGACCACATAGCGCATTTCTACTTTTTCTCGACCACTTTCCTCATAACTGCCATTTTGCGCTTTTGAATTTTGAACTTCGCCACTCGTCCGCCTTTTCAGACGTGTCCTTTCGCCTGTCAGGCATCATCATTGCCTCATGAACTGTGCCGCTTCAAATGTCGTGCCACTTTAAAACCCTTGTGCATGCGAGCCGTTAGATCAATCGCCTTAATCCAACAGTTGTTGTTGTAGCGTCTCTTCGTCTGTCCATTAATCTTGACCCTTGGAGTTTATGATCCCACGGTTGACTATTGCTCTCGTTTATTTCTCTTCCGTATAAATATTGATACTTCAATAGATTTTTCCTTTCCTCACTCTTGCATTCTCTCGTAGCATTAAACTTCTCTGCAATTGGAGCACTCTTGCAACTTCACGCTCCTCGATTTCCCAGCAAACGAGTCACCACCTACCATGAGTAAGTTCTCTGGATCTTTTTTTTGTGTGTTTATTTATTTTTCAAATTTTGTTCCTTTCTTCTCCTCGCTTCTCCTCACATCTTGCGCCTTCCATTTTCGTCTTTCCGCTGTGCCGTCCTCCGTCTCTCTTCCTCTTTCTTTTCTTTATTTTGATTTAGTTTTTTCCTGTCTTTTCTTCAGATTCCGCCACTTCGAGCGAAAATGATCGGTACAGCGGAAAGTATATGACCCCTCCTTCATCTTCTGCGACTCCCAATTTTTCGAGTGATTCTGTCCAAGAGGTTCTCCAACCTGAGCCTATTTCCATCTTTGACCTACCATCATTAGTGACAGCCCCATGGCCACTGCTATCTCCCCGACCTCCTATTTGGTTGACCAACCAGAAGAAGAGATCAGCAGTCGTCCTCCTTCCCCGCCTACCGAACGTGATCATCGAACAATTGGTCAAGACGACGAGTACGAGGACGATCCCGAGGATACTATCCCTTTGTCCTCTCGCATTCCCAAACTTTCTTCGACCACCTCCATTCTGTCCAAAAAGTCCAAGTTGTCACATCCGCTCGTCACCAATCGACTCAACTTCGACCAAATTTGTTATCCTGCGGCCGCTCACACTCCTGGTGATGACGATACCTATGATAACCCTCCATCCGATGCCTACACCTTCTTCTGTGCTCATTTCGATCTAGGCCTACATTTCCTCATTTGCCAGGCCTTGATCGACCTGTGCGGTCTCTACGGCCTCGCCTTGAATCAGCTTCTTCCTAACGCCTTTCGCATTTTGACAACTTTCATCATCCTTTGCATCGTCCGTATGGGACGGGTAGACCTAGATTTTTTCGTCTACTGTTACGTAGCCTCTAAACAGTCTGATGGCCTGTATTTGAAGAGTCGGAACAATGTACACTTTATCCTCGATCGACCATCTAATGTCCCTAAGTGGAAAGACCAATTTATGTACATAACTCCACAACAGCCTTACCCATGGGCGCCCACTCCTTGGCTTAAGAAGGTACCTATCAAGCGTGGTACCCCTCCTTCAAACCCCCTTTTCGATCGTCATATACTTGTTTGGAACTTGTACCCTGTCGCTTCCTGTTTCTTTCTTAAAGACGACAACCTTCTCCACTACTCTGGCATCCTCCCCTATAAACCCTTTTCTCCTCCTCTCGCTGAAACCCTCTTTACTATACGCGTTGACCAGAACCTTGCAGAAGTCGCTTGAACGTTCGAGCAGGTGCTCGAAACGATATTTGTCATGTGTTTTCTGTCTGGTTTTGTCAACTTAAGTTTTTACTAACCTGTATTCCATTTGTGCAGATGGATTTTTGCCTAAGCCCAACTTCAAGAAATCCGTCGAGAAGGGGTCTGTAAGCAGAGGCTCTTCAGGAACAGCCGATAAGTCCAAACACACTTCGTCGACCAAAGAGGGATCCCCTCGCCCTGAGAAGTCGGGGGTTTCTTCTGGCTCACAAAAGCAAAGGGCGTCGTCCCCTCCTCCTAAATATGTTCATCGATCTACTCACTTGTCGACTAAGGAGAGTGAGGTCTCCAAGAAACGCCCATGCTCTGAAGTTTTCGTTCCTTTTTCTTCAGACCAGAACATCGATTCTCCTCAATTCCCCAGTAAGCGTTCTCATCCTGAGGCTAAGTCTGCTAGAAGCCAACTCGCGCAGTTACCTTCCCGCGCTTCCTCTCTGGAAGGTACGGGCCTACGCGAGGCTATATCTCGTCTAATTGGTCTCCTACCTTTCAAGGACACCCATCAATGGGATTCCAATCACTAGGCCCAAGGTGAATATTCTGCTCGTCCGGTAATTCAGGTATGGTCCTCTATTATTTTCTACCCATGATTCTTCCTACATCGGTATACTTTAATATGTGTTGCTTGTGTAGATGGTGGTTTCGGTTGCTCTCCTCCTCGAAGAAACTCTGAACAGCTCTGGTCGTCCTCTTCCAGTGATCGAGGGCGACAACAGACGAATTGATACTGAAAACCAGCGTCTCAAGGCCAAGAATCAAGACCTGCTCAAGTCCCAGCACGAGCTGGCTGAGCTGGTGAAGAAAGACAGCGAGGAAGTACGTCGCCTCAAGGACGAGCTGAAGAAGGACAAGGTCCTTGAGGCGGAAAGGGCGAACAAAAGGAAAGAGGTCGAGACTGCTGCCGTTTCTGACGTAAAACAATCCCAACGGGCGTTGTTGGGGTCTCAGCTGGGTCAAGGCTTCCTGAAGGCATACCGAGAGCAGCTGGTTGACGACTATCTCCAGTCGACAGCCTTCCTCAAAGTGGCCTCGGGTATGGGGATGGACTTCTATACGTACAATATGGAAGAGGTTGAGAGGCAGCTGCTAGAGCAAAGACTCGCGGGTGAGCTGAACCATGAGAAGACATGGGACGCCATTCCTTCCATGTCGTCGACCTTCAAGATCAATCCTAGCCTCCCTGCCAAGCACCCCTGGTGGATGGGACCATTGGAGCGAGCCTTAGCCTGGGATAAAAATCTGCAATATTACTTCGACTTCTCGAAGGCTGGCGAAATTCATATGATCTGTCTCCCAGGCATCACGCCCTCTCAACCATCGACCACCAGCGCCCCTTTGTCTCAGTCTGGTCTCTCTGCCTCGGCT